CACACACACTGTGATAAAGTTCTTTGGGCCCAGTGCACTGTGCTGTTGTCACTTGCGGTCCAGTGTTCAGTGCTGAAATGATGTAAATCCTGTTTTCTCCTCATCTGGTCTGATGTAGAGCATTTACAATACAGATATTTACTTTGTAGTCCTAAAACCCAGAGGGTTTCTCACAGGAGTTTCAGTTGGTTTTTTTAGTGGTCTGTTTACATTTAATTCTGGCACATTTTGTTGTACAACACAAATTACACATATTCATACCTCAAATGAGAATTTAAAACTTTTTTGTGCTTTAAAAAGTCACTACATGAAGACTACAATGGTTGTTTGTTTCATCAAGTGTGTAAACACACATCTTTGTGGTAGTTGTAGTTCTTACTGTACAGTATGTAGCAGCTTGAGTTTATAAAGCACTCAAGGGTTTCCCAATTTAAATTCTTCATAAATCTTAAAATAGTGTTTCCCACAGGCCTTGTTTTACTCAGAAATCAAACCCCGCTCAATTAAAAACCCCTTGTGAATTCCTGAGGGAACCGGAGGTGAGTTAGCCTTCTGAGTTAGCATACAAACCGGCATTATGACTGAACATCTCAGTTAGCATTTGCTGTTAAATTAAAGGCTTTTTTACTCAAAAGATACAAAGCCTTAGCCTAGAGATTTCTTCAATCAAGAATCTACGGTCTCCCTTAATGTTTTATCGAGAAAACATGCCTCTTGACCTCATCTGTGAGGTTCAGTCTCACAATACAGTGAGAGTCACAGTCAGGTCTGTTCATGTCTGTAAAAAAAAAAGACTCCAGAGAGAGTTTTTGAAGGCTGATGTCGGTCTTGTCCCTACACCAGCTCATCCAGCAGTGTGCCTATGCTCTGGTGCTGCTCGGAGGATCCCGCCAGGGGTTTATTACACATGGGGCAGACGCAGCGCACCTCCAGCCACTTCACCACACACCTGCAAACACACGTTCTGTGTTGAAATAATGTCAGATTACACATTACAAGTGTGACTTTAAAGATATAGAGAAATGGAGCATTCCATCACTTAGTTTTACCAATGGATGCTCTGCAGTGAATGGGTGCCGTCAGAATGAGAGTCCAAACAGCTGATAAAAACATCACAATAATGCCACTCCAGTCGACTCCAGTCCATCAATTAATGTCTCGTGAATTAAATGTGTTTGTAAGAAACAAATCCATCCATCAACAAATTGCCAAGATACAAGTCCATGATCAATAATAAAAAAGATGCGTAAAGAATACTTTAGGCATTTTAGCTGGAAGCTATGGTTTATAGTTAAAAATGTCTTAATGATGGATTTGTTTCTTTTGAACATGCATCTTTTTGCTTCACAAGCCATTAATTGATGGACTGGAGTGGTGTGGATTACTTGTGGATTATTGTGATGTTTTTATCAGCTGTTTAGACTCTCATTCTGACGGCACCCATTCACTGCAGTGGATCCATTATGATGCAAGTGATATAATGCTACATTTCTCCAAATCTGTTCCCATACAGAAACAACCCCATCTACATCCTGGATGGCCTGAGGGTGAGTACTTTTTGAGCAACTTTTTTTTCATTTTTGGGTGAATTATGGTTTTAAAGTGTATTTTACTTTACTATAAATGTTTGTTAGTATATTCAGCAGTACAGTGTAACCATATTTCAAAGACAATAAAATTATGAAATTACATTGTATTTAAATGGTTCAGAAATCACTCTTAAGTTCAACTTATTGCATTTAAAATACATTTAAAATTCTAGTCAATTTTCATTTAATTCAAAATAATGTGGCCGAAAACATGCAGTTCGGACTAAAATAAAGTATTATTAAAGTATATTATTTCGATAATAAGTTTTATTTTTAAAAGTACTAAACTAAAGTGTACTTCTGTTTCACAAAGGATCTTCACCGCCAGCATGTTTAACCTCACAGTATGGGGGCAAAACATATCTCTATTAATGGCTACATATTTAGGAAATCAAATTTGCCAAGGAGCATATATCACAAATATTGCATTACAAATAGTTAAAAAAGAGCATTTTTGATTTTCGATGCATATAATCTGGAATGATCTAAATAGGAAAACCGAGAACATGACATGAAGTATCTAGGATCAGCCTGCAGAGCTGCTAACAATAGCAGGATGCTGCTGCTGCTGCTTTATGAACACCAGCTGTTAGACTCCAGCTTATTACTCACCTCCTGTGAAAGGCATGTTGGCATGGCAACACTCCCAGCTCATCTTTCACCTTAAAGTCCTCCAAGCACACGGCACATGTCTGCTGTGGAGGGACGTCACGCACCACAGGGGTGTGGAGACAAATAAAAATGAGGAAAAGTGAAAAAAAGAGTGGAAAGACATGGGTGGAAATAAAGTAACTCTTGAAAGCTTTTAACAGCACAGTAAAAAACACATTTGATCATGGGGTTCAGAAAGATTCACTGGATGCTTCTGCAGTGATTACCTATTTGGTAACACTTTAGTTTGGGGGACCAATTCTTAACTAGCTGCTTATTAGCATGCATTTTACTAGCATATTGGCTGTTTATTAGTACTTATAAAGCACATATCAATGCTGTATTCTGCACAACCATATTTTAGATCCCTTCCCATAACTAAACTTAACAACTACTGTATATTAATAAGCAGCAAATTAAAAGTTTATTGAGGCAAATGCCATAGTTAATAGTTAGTTAATAGTGAGAACTGGTCCCCGAACTAAAGTGTGACCATATATTATTTATAACATTGTGACATTACTTCATTTTTTATAGTGCACACACATTCAAAAGTTTGGAAGAATTAAGATTTTTTCTTTATGTTTTTAAAAGAAAGTGGCTTATGTTCACCAAGGCTACATTTATTTGATCAAAAATACATGCAGTAAAAATGTAATATTGTGAAATATTGTTAACAATTTAAAATATTTTTTCTATTTTAATATATTTTAAAATGTGACGGTATATTTATAATTTGACGATTTCCACATAAATATGAAGCAGTTGTTTTCATTGTTGTTAAATAATAATAAATGCTCCTTAAGCACCAAATCAGCATATTAGAAAGATCATGTGACATCTGAAAATTCAGCTTTGCATTACAAGAATAAATTACATTTTAAAATGTATTACAATAGAAAATATTTTACAGTATCACTATTTTTACTGTATTTTTAATCTAATAAATGCATATATAGGTGAGCATATATTCTATGACTGCTCCAGAATATTCTGGGAATTCCTGATATTTCCAGGTTTTTCAGGACAATGGAAGCCCTAGTATTGGGAATGTAGACAGGGCAGTTTCTTACCCCATGAAGATTCAGCTTCTTTGGATCTCCTTTTAAAATGACCTGCATTGCCCATATGCTAACAGTTAGTACAATTAGCCTTGATTAACATTATACTTAGAAAAAACTAAATGATAAAAATGTAAGAGAAGACCTCTTTAAAGCATATCTGCTCACTCTCTCTTACCTCTCTGTATCCAAAGCGTTCACTTTGGGCTTGATGTCTCAATTTACTATTGATGACAAAAGAAAATATAAAGCATACAGTTACTGAAAAATGATGAGAAATGCACAACAGTTTATACAATTCACTCAATTTTCAGCATTGTTACAAGTTGAGTCACAAATCAAAATTATCCATCTAGCATACAATACACTTACTTTTTGCTCCTTGTACTGTAAATAAACATGAATAGTGACAATTGGCTTTCATTATACATTTCACTTCCTCCTCCTAATAGGACTGACTTAATGTTAATGATGTCTGTAATGGACTGATGTGAGCGGTGGTCTCTCTCTATGTTAGGAGAGGGATTCAGGATCAAATCAAACTTAGTGAGGCTGAATCTGTAACATGGACACAACAAAATGAATCATGGTGACACATGCAGGCGTGAGTCATTTTCAGAGCTGGGATTGAAACCCTGAGTGAAATTTTACTGGTGAATCACTGATTTGCACGGCAGTGTGTGCTGCTCACGACACACTTGTTCACACACCGCTCTTCAAGAGCTTTCATTTGCATTTGACATGATTTACATGCTGTCCAATAGTCAAGAGCTAAGAGAGAAATCTGAAATAACTATATAGAAGTCTTCTATCTGTGCTTTGCCATTTATATACTGTACTTCATTTCGCGATTGTTTACAACAAAAGACATAGATCAAAGACAGGAAAAAGAGAAAAGAAAAGAAAGCAGGATATATGAGGAAAGTTAAGAAACAGATAGAAAAGAAATAGACAAGGAGAAAGAAAAGAAAAGAAAAGAA